GTATGTATATATATATATATATATATATATATATATATATATATATATATAACACTATATTATTATATTATTTTAAACATATATAAATAAGACTATATTATTATAAACACATACACATATATATATATCATACTATATTATTATAATATTATAAACATATATATATATACCACATTATATTATTCATTATTATAAACATATATATATATCATATTATATTGTTATATTATTATAAACCTATATATATATATCATGTTACATTATATTATTATAAATATTTATGTATATATAAAGTTATAAACGTACACACACACACACATATATATATATATATATAAATATATACATATATATATATATATATATATATCTTGTCCGTATATCGCTTAATATGTTGTAATTGACATCTTTGATAATGGGTTATGTAAGCCGAATGGTTAGATTGTATTAAAAAATATGGATCAATATTGTGAATTTCTTTCTTCGTTTAATTATAATGTTATTAAACTTATTAGATTTTATGAAAAGAGTTTACATAAAATAAATAGACAACACTAGTCTGTATTATTTAATGAAACATATATATATATATATATATATATATATATATATATATATATATATATATATATATATATATATATATTGGTTGGATGGATTGTCTGACGATAGCTAAAGCGTGAAACCCAGGGTCACAAACTCACATCTATCCAACCAAATATGTTAGCTCTATCTCTGATATTGAGCGCTTTCTAATAAGTACCGCGCATATAATATATAAATGATTATACATACTTATATTTATTTATATTTATATACACTTTTCACATATATTATATATATATATATATATATATATATATATATATATATATATATTACATTATATTATTATAAATTTAATATAACGAATATAATTTACCATTGTGTGTTTTATTAGATTTTTGTAATTATTGGTTACACAGTCTACAACTCTAACAGAAGACAATCTAATATTAAATATGTTTAAGTTCTATCTGGATAAGAAATATTGGCTTACTGCCCGTGTAACCTATTAACAGAGTGACTAGACACAGAGTCGTTGTATGCTAATATTCAATATATTTTAATGAAAGATTAATACTTCTCAAAATCCAGTTAAATTAAAGAATTTACATCGAATGCTATATTTTGGGTGATATATTTAATTAGAGAGTTTTTATCTAGCAACAGACATCAATTAGCGATGTAAGTAAATTATGTTTGCATGAAATAATTGACAATAAAAACAGCCACAATCTTGTTTTAATAAAAAAAAAAGTAGTATTTTTCTACTTAATACCATAATTTATGTTATTTCAGTGAAATTAAAACTCCAGTTTAAACTTCAAAGAGCCTATTTACGTTTGTATTAAAAATGTAAATCTACGATAATTACATGAATTTCATATATATATATATATATATATATATATATATATATATATATATATATATATATATATATATATATATATATATATATATATAGAGATATAGATATATAGATATTGTTGTTGTTTCTTCTATGCTAGCATTTTAAGTGAATATAAGTAGGGATTATATAGAGGAAGTTGCATTTTTTCCATTCTTTTTTGTTTCCTTTGTTTCATGCACGTTAAGACCTGAATCATATACCGCTGACCCATGAAAATGCTTGAACGATTTCGCCAGCGGTGCATGCACTGCGTTTTGTGTGTCCAGCGGTAAAGTTACGTTACCAACATTGATATCCTCGAATGCAGTAAGCCTACTTGTATATAGTCTCTGGCAATTCAGCACCGGATGCAATGGCGTGGTTACGAATTCTCCCTGACTGACGGCAGAATTTCTAAGCAAGTTCTTCATGGTGATTGTAAAAACGACCAGCGCAGTCAGTGCTAGTATATTTATATATAAATGACCAAATGAACAAAATAAAAAAACTTATGAATACACGTTCTGTATTTAATTATATACACAAATATAAACGACAAATTAATGTTTGCAGATTAGAAAATGATAGTAAATTGCCATTGTTGTAAATTCACCAATGCAATAATACAAAACATGCGGACTATGAATACGATTCATCATTATTGGCGTGTTCGAAAGAAGCTAATGAAGAGTGCGGAAGGTATAGAAAATCAAAATTTGGGATTTGGGAATAAAACAATCAGGAAGGGAGTATTACTACAAACACCTGCTATAGTGACGAATAAGTTGCTATATTATAAGAGACTTGTTATCACTTGTACTAAATACAAATACAGTAAATACTTCTTGCATGAAAACTCAATGAATACAAAAACTGCCTCGAAAGGGTTAGCTGAGATAATGATATATATGAAAGCATATGAATAATGAAATTGTGTCCGGGGTATGACGATAAATTACATCCGGCAGTAATAATCGGGAGATGGGAGGTTTTGAGGAGCGTGGAACCACCTCTTCATTTCTATTGGTCCCATGTCCAACCTGATCAGGGCTGGTAACATCTGTTATACTCCCAGCTATCGGCAAATAATTGGTCCACAAACTGGGTTTAAAACACTATGAATGTGTAAAATATATATTGTTATAGTAAAAGTATCAGCAATAGATTTTTGAAAAAAAATTTACCAGCAATACATTTTTTTTAAAGAAAATGACTTATGCTCCAAAGAAAATAAAATTTCCTCATTAACTGACCCATACGATGTTTATATGCCCCTAAAAAATAACTAATAACAATGGCATTTGAGGATTTAAGTAAGAAGGATTTAAATAGTTTATATAACATTAGTATTGAGGGTAACCTGGACAGTGCAGAAAATACTGAAGCTAAGTTACTTTCTCTTATAACTAGAGGATTATGGCAAGATTTTTCTGATGATGATAAAATTGCGATGATGACAATCTGTGATTATTTACGAAACTGAAAGACATATTTAACTTCTGACAATGGTCCAAACTGTATAAAACAAAAACCCATGTTAAATAAGTAACAAAAATATCCTGGGGATGTTTAAGAAATGAACAATCCAAAGAATTTGAAACGCACAGATTCTAAACATGGTTACTGATGCAAACGTTATTCTCACACATTTCTGAGAAGTGCGTTTATTTTGAGCGTCTAATGTCACAATTTATATACAAACCGGGACCCAAGAATGTTAATGTCCTCAAAATTGATATGGATTTTCGCCGCCAGAAATCCCAGTAAATAAAATTGCCTCGCTTTTTAACTCGTAAAATATAACGGGGTATGTGGTTTGAAGGAGCCAGAAACAAAACTTCGAAGAGAAATTGTTTTATTCTTATGAGTAAGCAGCTGAGGGCGACAAATATGCTGATCAATTTTATAAGGATAGACATAGCGGTGCAAGAATAACATTATTCTGGTTAGAAGCATAGAAAAAGAAAAGGAGGAAATCCATTTTAAATTATCATAAGAAATAACTGATTTACGCAATCTAGCTTTCGGGTAAATACGGCACTGTAAGTTTAAAACAAGCATCTTGTTTGTAGTGCGTAATCTCTAAGTTTAGCGTGGAAGTATTTATCAAGAGACACATTAAATTAAATTATAATTTCTCCAGTTGGACGCCTACCATAACGTTAGAGTTATCGGTTTTCTTTTGAAGGACACTTTACAAACTAAGGGAAATCGATACTCAGTATCTGATCCGCTGGTGTTTCCGTGTAGTGATTTTCCAAGCGTAGCATAAATGTGGCATAAGGCTGAAAGTAGGGCCACCCTGTGAGGATCGAACTCACTACACAGACGTAAATGTTCTTGCGAGACAAGATCGGTAACCATTACACTGCCTCGAAATGTCCACTGGGGGTTCCTTGTATCTGACTAAAATTGAGAAATAGATATAAATTCAAATATCCATCCAAAATATGTACTATTCAAATGAACGAAATTCTTTGATTTCCTGTTTCTTTTCATATGTTGAATTCATATGTAATTTGCATTCAAATATCTATCCCATAATGTGCATCTGCCAGCGATTTGCATTTGTCTGCGTATTTAACAATTTATTACTAATGTGATGATGCGAATCAGCACCTCGCTGCCCAACTTTTGATGATGTCCAGGGTCGGCTCTATGCGAATACACCGGCGGTGATCGCTATGATTCTCTGGGGCTGTGATTTCTCATTTAATCGGTTATGTTTTCCTTCTGCTTCGAGAAAGCGATTTTATCTGAATTCTCAGTAATTCTGGCCAGAAAAACGGACCCTACACACTTACCGCCTGGCCGCTTCACTTACTGCTCACACTTTAACGGACGGTCGGTCCTATCACTGAACCCTTCATATTATGGATACTGGAGAGGAGGACCGACCACTCCCTTCCGTTCACATGTGTTCCATCAAGCAAATAGGTGGGAAGGCATTCAGACAACTACTGGGTCGTCAGAACTCTACGGTTATATAAAATCACGAACAAAACTTTAAGTTTGACATTTCAAAGATGGGCTGGAGAAAAATCCTGATCATTAAAATTACTCACAGATATGCTAGAGACAAGTTTCCTGAGAAACACTGGTCATTAAATTGACTTAAAAAGAAAATAATTCTATCTGTTCATACGCTAAGTATATGTGAGAAATCGTATTCCAACATTAATATTTAAACATATATCCCATTGTATTTTATCCTCATCTATCATTTCACATATATCGTTCATACTCTTTTTTATGTTTCCATTTAGTTCTTTATTGTTGTTTCCAATTGATATTTAAGGAGACTACCAAAATAATGTACATACCATCTACTATTTCATTAAGTCCAACTGCATGACTCATATCAAAGGTCAGATTTCTTTGTTCCTGACATCCAGATGGTTTTCTGTTTTCGATATGGCTACCAATGATGTTGCATTGATTATTATATATATATATATATATATATATATATATATATATGTGTGTGTGTGTGTGTATATATATATATATATATATATATATATATATATATATATATATATCATACATGTTTGTTTAAATAATA